GCGTTAATACGTAAGTACCTTTTTCAGTTGCGTTGTACAAAACTGTTTATTTAAAAGAGAACGTCGAGAAAAATAGCAAATATTATCTGTTAAATTTACACATTTCTAGGAAGCATAACGAAAAAAAAAAAATGGTAGGTACATATTTGAATTATCGTTAACCTTGTAAATTAACTACATATTTATAATATTAATGTGTAGTAAAATGTGACCGATTTCAAACTTTATCGCTGAAACAATTACAAAAATATCGGTATTAGATTTTTTGTGGTGCAACGCAACTGCATTAGCTTAGTACAGATAATTATAAACAGTTATCGAAAGCCGGTAGTATGTTTTGTAAATCCTCATACCTACCTGTGAAGGTTTTAAATCAAAATAACGTTTGCTGTTTGGTTCGAGCTAATTCCGAAATGCTCAAACATTTTTGGTATGTTTAAAAATCGCCGATTTAGTGTCTGCCATCTCTCTGTTTGCGGATCGTATCAGTTAGGGAGGTTACTTAAAACCGAACTCCCTAAAGGCTATTCATTACGCCATCGTAATGAATACCCTTTAGTGAGTTTCAGCTGGTACCATTACCAGCCTGTGCAAATAAGCCTAGGATAAAGTGTCATAGTAAACGCCACCTTCTCAGAGGACAAGCTGCAGTAAAATTAGAGTCCCAGCGAAACATCGATTATCGTAATCACCTTCTATCTTTCTTGCAAAAGGGACATACATAATTTCAATAGTCAATAATATATTTCTTTCAGCAAACTAAGTAGCGATTTATGACATGTTTAGTTCGTTTCACTAAATGAGATCACGAATAAATGCGTTATTAAATAAAGGAATTTGCATTCGATAATGTATCGGCAAGAGAACTATCATCTCTGTTGATTTTTAATAAATTTGCTCTTCAATTGCAGCTAACCGACCGTTATTTTACAAGCTTCGCTTATTATATTGCAAGTTCCATTGTATTTAATACAAAATACATCTTGAAGAAAAGTATGTTGTTAAATTTCTTAAGTATTGCAATCTTAATCTCTCCTTTCGTTCTTAAATATGTAAACAAAGAAAACTTAAGCTTATCAACGTCGTGGTTAATATATTTTACTATGAATAGCTTTTTTTGTGTGAATGAGTAGTTTCCATTTGAAGAAACTAAGTTCATTGTTTGACAATTCATTTAAATGACAAGAATCGGCAATCTTATTGATTCTTAATATGATAAATGAAATGATACAGAAATCAATTTTGCATTGTTTCGATCTATATAAACAAAATTTGTAGTATAGACCTAGAGCAGGGATGGGCAAATATTTTGATAGTCTGGCCACATTGCAGATGAAAATTTGACCTCGGGCCAAACAGCTTTTATTTCTAATTTTATATTGTGCGAATGTTATACCTGTATACTGTAATTGTTCAATTATCATAATTATATTTTCGAATAGGAGGCGCTGAAAAGAGCGGTTGTCTGGGAGAAAATTTTGGCTCCCACCGGCCCTGATAATGTGTATCCGTATTGCTTAATATTTTATCTAAAAAATTTTATGCACCAATTTATGTTAGACAAAAACTAATATTTGGGTTTTTAATAATAATAATATATACAATGCTTCACGGGCCAGACAAAATTCTACCGCGGGCCGCCATTTGCCCAGGCCTGACCTAGAGTATGCGGATTAAAGTAGCTCCCGACAAATTGGACGGCACGTTGTCATAAGCAACATTTATTCCGCATTTCCCAACTATAACGCCCAATTCACTTAATTTATTGTAGATTATTATATTTTTAAAAACGACCGCTTTAACCATAGACAACGTAAAAATACATATAGACAAGAAAAGCAAAACCGTGCTCTTTCTAAAAATGTTAAAAATAACATTTTTTTTTACGTAAAATACAATTAAAACGCATAATTAAGTAGGTTCTAAATACATATATGTATAATTGAGCAAAACTTAACAAAACAGTGAGCAATATAAAACAGAACAGCCAGAGATTACTACCGAAAACTTGAATTATGTCTTATTCTGTTCTTATATTATAAAAAAATATATTGCCTACAATCATAATTTACATTATCAAAAATTTTCTATGAAATTTTGAGAGAAAACGACAAATTTCAATTTTAAATATATTTAAAATAAGATTCAGGGTTAGACTGCTTTTATTTGCAACACTGCCTCGGATTTTCTCAATGATATGTATTTACAATAACCAGCTGAAAATTGAACTATCCAAGGAGTTCCGTANATAAAAAAATATATTGCCTACAATCATAATTTACATTATCAAAAATTTTCTATGAAATTTTGAGAGAAAACGACAAATTTCAATTTTAAATATATTTAAAATAAGATTCAGGGTTAGACTGCTTTTATTTGCAACACTGCCTCGGATTTTCTCAATGATATGTATTTACAATAACCAGCTGAAAATTGAACTATCCAAGGAGTTCCGTACTATGTAAACGTGCCCCTCTTAAAACGCTTTAGATCTCGCAAGATCGACGAAAACATTACCAAGTCGATATTACAGTACCTAGTCATACGCGTTAATAATAATAATAAAAAGCAGCACGTCGCCATTAATATACTAAATTTAAGCCTATTTCACATATACCATTTAGTAATGTATGTAATAATTGTATAAAATATCATCTTTAATCTCTGTATACTAAATCACCTTTGTTTTATATTTAAAATTAAATCCATTTGTATTGGTATAAAACTCTGATAAAAATCTGAGGTCATCTCGTGGCTATGGCACTGTATACTGTATAATATGTATTCAAACTTTGTACTAAGGCACGTCGCGTCCAATCCGACCGGTGTATATAGAAAAACTTTCATGTTTGTATAAAAATACTTACAATCTATTTATTATTTAAGGCTGCTCGATTTGTATATAAAATATAAAGGAAAAGGAATATATTGTGTGCGGTCGGAAGTCGGATTGGACGTGCGCTACCAATGGAGGATCACAAGTACTGAATATGTGGACCACATCAGTCACGGAATATAACTGCTTCTAATTCAATTTAACGATGTAATTTCATCTCTTTTTTTGTAAACCTCCCGAAAGTTTGATAGGAAACTGAAACGGTAACACAAATTCTAATTGTGGCTTCACAGTTGTGAATCCGTCGTCGAGCGACAAATCACAACTGCCAAACGTCAAATTTTCATAACTGTCTAATGATTAAATTCTTTGAGAAACAATATTTTGTTACTAAATAAAAATAAAAACAACCAACACAAAGTTTTCACTTGCGTCAAGTGATGATTAATAAAATGGTATGAATGTGACTCCCACAAATTCAGCAAACTATTACGATTATCATTAACATTTCATATTATGCGTTAGGAAAACGAAACCATCACATTAATATAGTAAAAAAAAGCTATAGGTATCTTAAAATGTACGTCTTGTCTTCGGAGTTCGGTTACATACGAATGGAGATGTTAAAACGTCAAAAGTGAGTCGGGTCGTCGTCCTCTCGCTCCCCTGTTTATAGTCTAGGAGACTGCGGAGGTGTTTCACGGAAGCGATATTTTCAACAAAACAGATATATCTCATATATCACTTTGTCAGCTATATCATATATCCTGAATATCGTATACAAATCATCTGAATTATTATGAATCTACTACATTACGTGCGGACGCGATGTGTCGTAGGACGCTTTGTGCACCGGGCGACGAACCGACCACAATTAAATACAAACTCACATTTATATATCTTTATAATTCCTATTACTAATTTATTTCGCGATGAATGATCGAATTGCTTGGTAATTCGAGACGTGGTTACACTAAGTTACAATTAGAAATAACATTTACTCTGGCATTCCTTCGTTCCCCTGATGAAACTACGACAAAGCACTTTGCGACATCACACACGTTCCCTAATTGGTAAAAATTCTTCTAATCTCACTCGTATTTCATTATCTTCAAATCAGTCAAATAAGAGAAAATTGCCAGCGTAGAGCCGCGGACTTTAAAAAAAAACAATTTAAATTTTGAGTCCGTCGTCCAATTATACCAAAAATCCAATTATACCATTCATTCAAAAACAAAGAAATATCGGACATATTTCGTCTTGATTAATACGAAATTTTAACGCTAAGTGAGCGAATTGACACCTAACCTACCTATCACAGTCCTTTCTCAGTCTGACCCATTCCGATAAATGCATCCCAATTGTCAATATCTCTTGGAAAAAACTGGTAACAACCTAACAATAAACGAAACTGGTAGAAAAATTTAAAACGCTAATCTATTTGGCACCTACGTATAAGACGTTTCAGTTTAATCTCATCTAGATAAATAAAAACTAAGGCGACACAAACTTGTGAGATGTTTAAGTACTAAAAAAATATTGTCGATGGCAAAAGGTAACCTAAGTTTTTGGTTTGTATCCATTGTGCCGTTCTCACGTTATTCGAAAAAAGTTTTAAAAGATTAAAGCTACGCTTTTAAAATCGTTATTTTTTGACGTCTTTGAGCATAATTATGTAATTTAATTTACTTTACCTCGTTTCTAATTGCCAGCTCTTAAAATTCATTATCCTTAAACAAAATTAACTTAATACAATAAAACTACGAATTGTATACAATATACAAAGGCGGCGCGGTCGCGCCCGAGACATTCATCGCGAAATATTGTTACGTGGTAAAAGATCAATTCTTAGTTGTAACATTTCAACAAAGTTTTTAAATCCTAAATTCTGGTTCGATCCGAATATCTTATATTGAAAATTTCGATCGAGAATCATCAAGAAAACTAATTCTTACTTGGTAACTTAACGATTACGGAGCGAAAACGCTAACTATACTCAGTTCAGACGGTAACGAGATTTCGACCGTCCGACGACAGTTCCTCGACGGAGCATTCAGAACGGTCGACAATATAGATCGAAGCTCATGTTACGGCGATCCGGATTATGTAGGTACTTATGTTACATGGTCACGAAAACGATCGCGACCGGAGCTCGTGCTGGCGACTCGCGTACTGGGAGGCCCGCTCAGTTGTACAGGCGCTCGCCGTACAGCTCAGGCGGCGCCGTGTGCCAGCGCGGGCCGGCCGCCGGTCACTGCGCCGGCAGACACGCGCCGCCCACCGCCGGCTTGAACTCTCCGCTCGTCGGGAATTGCTGGAACGGTGGCGCGTAGCACTGCGGGAAGTACAGCTCTGGTTTGACCACGGCGGCGGCTGGCGGCAGCGGGCGGGGCGTCTTCGATGTGTCTGCCCGACGCGCCTTTGTTGCGTGCGGGTTCATGTGGTTGTCGATGTGCTTCTTCACCTCCGGTTCGGTGGCAAACCGCCGCCGACAGTTCGGCATTGGGCAGCAGAACGGCCGATCGCCTTGATGAGTTCGCGTGTGTTGATCTAGAATTGCTTTTTGCCTGAAATCCTTTCCGCATTGCGTGCACTTATAGGGTTTCTCTCCGGTGTGAATGCGCAGGTGCTGGTTGAGAATGGTACGTTGTCGGAAGAAACGTGGACAATAAATACAGCCATATGGCTTCTCGTTTGTGTGGATTCGCAGATGCTGAGTCAGATGAGATTGCTGCCTGAATCGTTTGCCGCATTCAGGGCACGGATATGGTCGGGATTCAATGTGAATGCAGCCGTGTTGAAGAAGAGTCGACTTCTGTTTGAACTCTTTCTGACAGATAGGACAACGTACGTAGAGAGGCATCGCGCGGCCGCCGAGGACATCTGGAAGCTTTCCTCCTTTTAAATATTGCAACGATAAACCCGACCCAAACACAGTATGATTAAGGCCTTTCGTATCTTTGAAGTAGGCGGGATATTGAGCGGTGTCACCCGGTGAGAAACATGAGCCTCGCTGTTCTCCATTCTGCCCGTCGGCATCTCCAAAAGTCGACTGGATCTCTTCCTTGTTCTCGTCGGGAGGAAACGGTACATCCTGAGGCCACAGAGTCGGCGTGGTGCCGTTCTTGAATATCAGATGCGGTGATACATCTGCAAAAGTCGAACAGTGCGATCAGTTAAAAATCCAAAAAGGGACATATAAATTGACGACGAGTGGGTTAATCAAACTGGGTACGGTTACAGGATCGTCCGGCGATCGGATCCGCGTCTCGCGCGATTCTCCGCCAGACGGCTGGCGGGTGCAGGGGGACCGAAAATTTGATGCAGAGGAAGGCCAATAGTTGCGAGACCGAATCGAACGTGCGGGGGGCGGCGGGGAGCGCGGGCGGCGCCGGCAGAGGCGGACCGCTGCGGGCGGCGCACGCGGGGAGCGGGGCAGGGCATATATGTGTGAATAGCGCTCGCCTTGGTGTGTTCGGACGTGCTGGTTCAGGATGGCCTTCTGGCGGAAATGTTTGCCGCACTCGCCGCACGAATATGGCTTCTCACCGGAATGGATGCGCAGGTGCTGGTTGAGGATGGCGCGCTGCCGGAACGAGCGCGGGCAGTAGACGCATGCGTACGGCTTCTCGTTGGCGTGGATGCGCAGGTGCTGCGTCAGATGAGACTGCTGCCGGAACCGCTTGCCGCACTCTGGACACCCGTATGGTCTCGAGTCCGTATGGATCCGCTCGTGCTGAAGCAGAGTCGACTTCTGTTTAAAGTCTTTTCCACATGTCAAGCACTTGAACAGCCGTAGTTCTGAGTTAGGGTTGTGCTTCCTTGGCTTTGGAGGTTCAGGTTGAACTATGTCAGGCAAATGGCGGAGGTCTGGCGCTCCGTATTGATCGAGCGGACCCTCCAAAGATAAGACGCCACCGTTTTGTTTTAAATAGTGCAGCGGAAAGCCGCCGGTACTCAGCATATGACTGGCCGGTCTGGTCTCTTTGAAGTACGGTGTATACTGTTGCTGTAGATCGGGCTGCGGGATGAAGCACGGTGATCGATCAAGGTGGTCTTGCGGCGGAGGCTGCGGTTGGGGCTGCGACTGTAGTTGTTGATCAACTTGCATGTGTTCAGGTGACGTCTGCTGTTGCTGCTGCTGCTGCTGTTGTTGTTGAGCCTGCTGCTGGGCTTGTTGCTGAGCTAGTTGTTGTGCTGCATCTTCTGCTGCCGCGGTCGGGTCCGGCGGTGGAGGAGCCGGTGGATAGGGCGAGGGCGCAGGAGAGGCTAACTGCGGTTCGGGCTGAGGGGACGGTCCACCAGGGCTCTGGTGTTGCATGGGCTGGTAGCCGCCGTCCAGAACTCCACCGCCCCACTGTGTGCCCGGTGGAGCTCGTTCAACGCCATCCTTGTATAACACGTATGGTGCTGCCGTATCTGAAAAAGAAACAAAACAATATGAGCTATAGTTGTTTAGAAGAAAAAAAACTATAGAAAAATAAATACTTTAGAAATATTTAATGACAAAAACTATAATGTAGAGAAATTTTACGTACATTAGTTCGTTTTCGTTAGCAAAAATGAGGAGTTCGCGTGTAGCGTGTGCGATTCGTAATAGTGGCGGCGAGAAATGAATAAGAATTTAATAAAATGTCACGTTTTGAACTAGACTAAACTAGATGTTTTTAGTTATAACAAGCGCCATTTGAACCGACATATTTGAATTTAATCTGATATTTATTGTGTACTAGCGACCCGCCGTAGCTTCGCTTCGGGAACTGTGATTTATTCTTGATCTTATTGAAATTTATTTCTTCATCTTTCATAATATCGCGCACTCGACTGTTTATCATCATAATTAATCAAATAGGTATTTGTCCAAATGATTTAGTGTAAAATATAAAGTTTAACTACTTTAAATACCAGATTCGATAACAGTATTGATTGATATAAGGATAAATTTTTTACTACCAAATGAGCGTTACAAACAAATTATCAATTTTTATTGTATTTATGGTTTACTATTTTGGTGATAATGGCTTAAACATAAAATATAGATATATGCTGTCGCGGAATTTTTTGTAGGACTATTTATGTTAAACGTTTTTCATTATATATTATATACATACGTGTGACTCCAACGGTTTTTGCAGCGCACGTCAGAATAGCTCGGAAATGGCAGATTTTTTCCTACTTACACGTACACTTATCGTTACATTTTGAGTAACTCACACAGTATCTTTATAAACTATAGCCTATGTGATATTCTGATGTGTAAGCTATATTATTGTAAAGTTTCATCATAATCCAATAGTTTTTGCGTGAACGAGTAACAAACATACATCTTCTTACAAACATTCACTTTTATAATGCATATATATGTTTATATATATTAGCAGGAATTTTGCACCAATTCGTAAATTTTAATATTCGTCAGTTACTTCTCTCTATATAATAAATAGGTAAAGAACACACTCAAACACGATTTTCTCATCTATCAACAGAATATCTTGTTTTTTAACAAACTAAAATGAGATTCGACTCTTTGGATTTATTTATTTATTATTTTGATGATTTTTTCGACATTTGCGAACTGATTTTAGTTTCTTTTTTACTTTAAAGCGTACGCTGGGTTCTTTGTTGACTTTAATTGTTGTATTTCACATTCGAACTAAAAGACAAGAAACATTTTTTTTTCATATTTTTGCAGTCGCTAGTAACGGGCTTTAGTGTTAACAACAAAAGTTTTGGAAAATAATCACTTTAAAAAATATAAACAAGAAAGGAAATGTAATTCATTAAATAAATAGTATTCTTGAGTTTTCAATGATTTTAGCTGAATTTCAATAATAAATAGAGCAAACTATTTCTTATCGGGTCAAATAACGGGCAAGGAAATTAAGGTATGGCTGTAAGGAGCGTTAAGTCCTAAGATTCAAGGAAAAGTCGTTTTCATAAAACCTGGGATTCCTCTTATTGTCAAAATGAAACCCCACATCAAACCGAAGTATACGTCTTGTTCTTTTTATCTGCGTGTAAAGATACGTAAACGTCAAGGATATATCCGATAAGACCACGAATCCGATATTATTTCTTCGAGCACGTCATTCCTAAGCACGTATTAAATATATCAAAGAGAACACCAATAGAAGTTATTCTAATTAGAGCAGCCAAAAAAGTTTCGAATAATCAATTCGCGGCCGCGCGGTCATTAGAACCTCATTATCGATCGAGAACTTAAACAAAGAACTTTTTTCTACGTCATTCGTCATCGGAACGGACGCATTCTGGCTTCGGAATGAAAAAAAAACAGGTCATCCATCTTGTCGGGACGGGCATCGTTGTTAAATAGTGAGATCGGCTGAACGCCGATAAAATCCTGCTACTAAACTGTTTGGATTAGTGTTGGGATACGGACTACAACGATATTAAATAGCATGCTATTCGTTGCGTTATTTATAAACTGTAAATAAAGCAGTGAGCTGTCTGTACGTTTTGTACTCGAATGTGGTTCAATCAAAAGCAATCATGTCATTGTGTCAGCTTAAATTGTAGGGTGGCTGTTGTTTGAAATGACTTCGAGCTCCGTACATCTTCAAACAACCCTTTTTTTTCCCCTACCTATTCTAGTAACCTCGAAGGGTTATATTAGATTCACAGAACTAGTGGGTGAGCTCACGGGGCTCTAACCTGACGACGTTCCTAACACTAGCCCTAGCAAGAGCAGTGCTTCGCAGAATCTACCACTGGATCGGAAACGCGACCCACTGAGAAGATCCGGCGAGAAACTCAGTGGGCTGTCTGTGGGTTAATTTATTCGTCAAACCCGACGACGAGAAGGGTGACGAGAAACGAGCCTGTCTTGGATTGGATTGGATATCTAGCACGCCATTTTCCTTCTTTCGTTCAGTTAAGATGAAGTTATTTGTTAAGGAAATTTATTAATATATTCCTTTTAATACTGTATAAACTATTATATGTATGTATGTATGTATATATGTATGTATGTATGTTTATATTTATGTGATTTTGTATATATGTAGATATACTTTTTTTTGTATGTATTCGTAGCCTAATATAAATTTCATTGCACCTACCACTATTTACTCTGCACTACCTTTGGTTGACTGGTAGAGAATGCCTTAGGCATTAAGTCCGCCAATGTAAATTTTACATGAAGTGTAATAAATAAATAAATAATACTGCGTTCGTAACCATGCAATATGTAGCTAAAAATATTTGGTCTATAGTCCGGAGTGAGCTGTCGCCTATTCATTGGCTATAATGAACACCACTAGTTATCGCTGCCACAATCTAATTACCGATATCTCGGTACCAGCCAGACCTGATCTAACTAGTGAAGTCCAAATTTAAAATACTTTATGACATTTTCCCTTTGATACAATTAGAACAAGTCACGGTGTGATTATATGTTAAGATATTATCGAGTTTAACTGTTCTCATAAAACGTATGATGGGTTGCGTTTAATCAAATGATTCGAGGCTTCCTATATTCTTTTGTTCTGTACTATGATAATTAATTGAGAAAACCGATAGAGTTGTAACTGTTTATTGCAAAGTAGTGATTTAATGTGCTTTAATAGGAAGAGTATAATCAATTTTATTATACGACTTTATAGAATGAGTAGATAAAGAGTATAATGCGACACATAATATTTGATACAGAATACACTTATATATATTATAAATTATAATTTGCGTAATCACTGGTGGTAGGACCTCTTGTGAGTCCACGCGGATGGGTACCACCACCCTGCCTATTTCTGCCGTGAAGCAGTAATGCGTTTCGGTTTGAAGGGTGGGGTAGCCGTTATAACTATACTGAGACCTTAGAATTTATATCTCAAGGTGGGTGGCGCATTTACGTTGTAGATGTCTATGGGCTCCAGTAACCACTTAACACCATGTGGGCTGTGAGCTCGTCCACCCATCTAAGCAATAAAAAAAAAACACTACTGCAAATATTAAACATTTTAGAGTAATGTATGACAATACACTTTCATTTGTTTAAATTTATACCTATGTATATAACGTGCGTTGTAACTCTTATATGTATATGAATAAATCATTTCAGTACGTTTAACGTACAAAACTGAAGAAAAGCGATGTAAATCATCTTAATATTCGGTGAGTGCCAAATATTTTCAGGAAATTTCAGCAAAACCGTAATGATTTCTGCTGACGCTACCAAGAATAATGCTTCGTCCATAATTTAATTTTTCGTGTGAAACTCTTAATGCGCACGGTCCCTCGTCCAGAATACTTTCATCTTTAAACGAAGATTTATTGTAGTGCAACATCTGTTTACGATCAGATCTGTATAAAATGATTCGACTGTGGAGACGGAAATCAGAGACACCTTCGTAAATTTGACAGTTCAATTTTTTTTGTTTTAAACCGACAGGCAAAGGGTTGATACGATCGCCATGTTGAATGACAGTAAAAAATACGTTCCGTATATTTTTGTTCATAGAAACATTTATGTATTTTTATTCTGTTTTGTATTTTTATTTCTTGCCCTTGTAGGCAGACGAGCATACGGTCCACCTGATGGTGAGTGGTTACCGTCGCCCATGGACTTCAGCAATGCCAGGCGCAGAGCTAAGCCGCTGCCTACCGCTGTATAGGTATAATATATCTTATTCATTTATTGTTCATTAAAATATAGAATTGAGTGGATAACATCGTTCTTCCTATTAACCGCCACGAGGAATCTAGCCTTGAATTTAAAAAAAGATAGGTTATTGTCATTATAGTCTAGTAAGGATTTCGATTTCAAAACTCAAGATCAAAACGCGCATTCACGTTGTGAGATAACTACTAAGCATTAATAGTTTTAAAGCTTAGGTATACCTACATATATCAATATGATGAAAAAGTGAAAAAGGACAATCTTCTACCTAAGGCCTCCGGAATGAGAGGAAGACTTAGTGCCGTTATAAAACTGTTAGATTCGAAGCCAAATTAATGGATAAGAAACGTTCGTAAGCCTCTAATTAGATCGGGAGACGTGGCCCTGCCGGATGATACCACATGTGCGATGTCAAAGCGTATTAACTTTTTTTGCCTTTAACCCCGCTAGATTGTGACGTTCGGATGACGTATGTAATGCCATGGGAATGCATTAAGTTCATTTTAATGTATTTCATAAGCCTGGGAACGATTTTTTAGGTGACGAAGGTTTGTAAGTGTCGTCCGTAGACTTCAGGAGTATCGAGCACGAAGCGGCTGCGTCAAGCTCACTGAATTTCTCGCCGGATCTTCTCAGTGGGTCGCGTTTCCGATCCGGTGGTAGATTCTGCGAAGCACTGGTCTTGATAGGACCAGTGTTAGCAACACTCCCAGTTTGAGCCCCTGAGCTCACCTACTCGCCTGGTCAAGCTGACATAGTCTCTCAAAGCTATGAGCTTATAGGT